AATGGTGGCAATGACAGAAAAGATGACCAGAAAGCAGTGAGAATAGAATGAGTCATAAGACAATAGGAAGTCAAAGAGTTATTTAGGATGCTGACCATTTCTGGTTGGGCCCCTAGGACTAAGTTTAAGTACAACAAGGAACAAAAGTCATGCAGTACAGAAAATCTAAGAATTATGAATTATGTAGTGATATAGATCTATTTCATGAATACTGAGATCTAATATCATCTGAGAATGTGGTAATGAGAGAAATTATCACACTTTTGGGAAAGTGTATTAAACTAAAGTTTGATGGTCTGGTCACACTTCATCAGTATGGCCTGAGAGATTTGAAAGGCATGTCTACTCTGAGGTTGCTAGAGATGTTTAGCTTTGGTTTTACATGCTCTAAGCACTTGTTTTTTAAATAAGGAAATTTAAATATTTATCTCTATTCTGATAGGTTTTGCTTATGCCTGCTACATTATTGTTGTTGTTGTTGCTAGTCCTGGGGCTTGAGCTCAGGGCTTCATGTCTCACTTGGCACTTTCACTTAAAGCTGGCACTCTACTGCGTGAGCCACAACTCCACTTCTAGCTTTTTGCTAGTTAAGTGGAAGGAATAGGTTCACTGGCTTTCCAGCCCAGGTTAGCTATGAACCTTGATCCTCAGATCTCAGCCTCCTGAGTAGCTAGGATTACAGGAGTGAGCCACCAGTGCTCAGCACTACTTCGTTTGTATAATAACCTGTTGTCTAATGTGTGTATTATCCCTCTAAGAATAAAAATGCACATTTTGAGACTTCTTTTGCTGTATGAATTACCACTATTGATTGTGTTTGTTGATGGAAACTGGTCTCTCTCTCTCTATTGCTCACTCTAGGTTATCTATTCGTGTTGGTGCTTGGAACACTCATTTACTTACCTGTGTGTCAGTTCTGCTTATCAGCTCTCCTTGGCTGACTGGGGTGGGAGGGAACCTGGGAAGGTTATGCTGCAGGACAAAGGACATAGATAATTCCTCTTCTGTATGAGCTGTAGTGGTACTTCTCCACTAAACTGCTCAGCTCCCTGCCTCACTCACCCAAGCACCCACTCACAGGGAGCAGACAGAGGATTATGTTAGTCTGCCCACAGCTCAGACTCATTGTCCTGCTGACTTTTCTTCACATCAGTTTTCACCAAGCATCCAACATAATCTTATCATGGACTATTTGATTCCAAGCTTACCACTTCATCAATGAAAACCAAGGTCTTCGTCTTCACTGAAGTTTCATCTTCAAGGCTTAGTAATGGTCTTGCACAGGATCATCTATATATTTGCTGAATTAGTCACCATAATGAAACTGCCGCTCCTGTGGCCACTAGCTCTGATCCTAAACCTGCTGTAGCGCTCATCCTTCGTTCACCTATATATAGTTTTGGTTTGGGGTTCCACATGTAATCTAGTCTGATACTGGATTCCACATGTAATATTGTCTGATATTGAGGAGGCTAATATCTGAGGATCGATGTTTGAAATTTAACTGGGCAGAAAAGTCTGTGAGACTCTTATCTCCAATTAACCATGAAAACAAACAAACAAACAAAAAGAAACAACAACCAAAACACAGAAGTGGAAATGTAGCAAGAAGTAGAGTACCTGGGCTGGGAAGGTGGCTCAGTGGTAGAGCGCTTGCCTTGCATGCATGAGGCCCTGGGTTCGATTCCTCAGCACCACATAAGCAAAAAAAAAAAAAGCCGGAAGTGGCGCTGTGGCTCAAGTGGTAGAGCACTAGTCTTGAGCTGAAGAGCTGAGGGACAGCGCCCAGGGCCTGAGTTCAGGCCCCACGACCGGACCCAAAAAAAAAAAAAAAAAAAGAAGTAGAGTACCAATCCTTAGTGAAAAAGCCCAGTAAAGGCTTGAGACCCTGAGTTCCAGGCAAAGTACTGTCTTGAACACCAAATAAATATAGAGATAGTTACTTTTTTTTCTCTAGAGGGGATGTTTGATTGGAATATACGTAAACATGTGTGGAAATTTAACAGTGAAATCCTCTTCTGTATAACTAGTGTAAATTAGTAAAAGGTTTTACATATAATATATAAAAATTATTTCCTGCCATGCCTATAGATTTGTACTATGTAGTATACTTTGAGGAATTCCAGATGTGGTGTTTCTGAGTTCCATAGTGTGATTTCAGTTGATACAGATTTGCTATTAAAGAACATTGACCATAAAAAGGAGAAGATAACTTCCATTGGGATCCTATCTTTTACAAATATTTTAAAAATTAAAAAAGATCTCAGGTATATAAACAGAGTGATATCGTGAATACCCATAATCATCCATCCAGATTTAACCATTCCAAACACTTAGCAATAATTGCTTGAGAATTTAAAATAATAATAAATAGGCAAGGCCATTGGAAGGTCTTCTGTATCTTGCCATTCAGTTCTTCTCTTCTTCTTCCCTGTTTGGAAGCTGAACTGCATCCTTCCTCCCAGATCCATATTTTTTCCAGTTCCCTTCATAACTATTCCGTCTATTAAGTGCTATTCCAAATTCTTCTGTGGACTTTACAAGCATCATAGAATCCACTATCTCAATCCTTCACATGATGCCAAGAGGAAAACTTCCCTGTGGTCAAGGCTTGAATGTCTTCCCTGACATTTGCTGCTCTCTCCTTCTTTCTCCCCCTCCTCCTCTCTCCTCTCTCCCTCTCCCTTTCTTTTTCCCTCCCCCCTTTCCTGGGGCTTGAACTCATGCCCTGGGCACTGTCTCTTAGCTTTTTTGTTCAAAGCTGGTGCTCTACCAATTTAGCCACAGCTCTACTTGTGACTTATTCTGCGGGTTAATTGGAGATGTAGAGTTTAAAGAGCTTTCCTGTCTGGGCTGGCTTCCAATTGCGACTTTCAGCTCTCAGCCTCCTGAGTAGCTAGTATTACAAGCCTGAGCCACTGGTGTCCAGATTAAAAGTGCTGGTTTACAGAAAAATATTAATAAGCATTTAAAAAACAAAACAACAGCTGGAACTTGACATTCATGCACTATGGGAGATGGTTCAAGTTCCAAATTGGGGCATGTAAAGCCCTACATGACCCACAATGGCTATCAGACAACACAGTATTATTCACAAAACCAGAAAACATGGGATGTTGTTTGAAAGTAGTGGATGAACTAACTGCCTCCACTCACACCCAGTCATTCCAGAGCTTTCTTCTGAAGCGGATTATTACCACTTGCTATTTAAATCAGGAAGTGGAGGTATGGCTCAAGTGGTAGGGCGCCAGCTTTGAACTGAAAAAAAAACAAAACAAAGAAGAGTGTGAGGTTCTGATTTCAAGTTTCAGTACTGGCACAAGAAAAAAGAAAATTAACTTTTATCATGGGAGTGGAAGAGATGGGAAATAGCCACAAAAGGGTGGCACTGATCAAGATGCATTGTATTCACAAACTGCTTTGTTAAATGGCACCTCCTTTGTATAACTACTTACAGATTACACATTTAGGACATACTACTAAAATTGAATATAAATATATATTATTAAAGATATTAATATAAATTATATAAGCTTTAAAAATATGTAAATTTAAAACATCCTCAAATAACTTGGTCATGTAAACGCTCATCTTAGCAGAGGGGCATAGATGCTTTTGGAGCAGGACAGAGTTCACTTTTAATTTTTATTAAAATCAAGTTCTTTTGTTTTGTTTATTCATGTAGTATTTGCCTGTTCAGAATACATAGCTTTTACATGGGTGTAATCCCTGAGTATTACAAACAAAAGATATTTCTTATATATTCTAGGCATTAATTTTTTTTATCAGATACGTGCACTGCAAATATTTTTCCTATAATCCAACACCAGCGGCTCACATCTGTAATCCTAGCTACTCAGAAGGCTGAGATCTGAAGATGGCAGTTCAAAACCAGCCCAGGGAGGAATGTCTGTGAGAGTCTACCCACCAACGAACCAGCAAAATAAGCCAGAAGTGGAGCTGTGGCTCAAGTGGTAGAGAGCCAGTTTGGGGCTAAAACACCCCAGGACAGCGCCCAGGCCCTCAATACAAGCCCCAGGTCTCTTCTGACTCTGTGGCTCATCAGACTTGGTTGGCTTTTCGCGTTTTCTCCCTATTTCTCGTGGCCAAGGCGGGAGGGAAAGGGCTCTGCGGGGCGTGGGGAGGTGACTTCACACTCCTGGTCACCGAATGTCATTGTCACGGTCACACCAGCCTGGACACGGGGCGGGCGTCGAGAAACTGCTCTTCTCTTTTTCACCGGCCAGCCCAACTCTGCCCATCCTAGGGGCGGGTCAGCGCCTGGGTGCCGCCTTCCGAGACAGAGAGAAAGGTGGGGGTCCCCGGCGCCCACCGGGGGTTCCCTGAAGCACCCCCAAGTCCAGCTGCTCGTGCCCACTCGGTCGCTTCGGTGGGGCGCTGCGGCCCGAGCAGGTGCTGGGTGTGGCCACGTGCGGACGAAGCTCCGATCGCCGGGTCCCGCTGTGCCCGACGAGCTAACCCAGGACGGCGGGCGTGCGGCACCCACCCGGGGCGGGGATGGGGGGGTGGAGGGCCGGCGCCCCGCCCCGCGCCCGGGTCCAGGCCTTATAAGCACCGGTGGCGGCGACACGCCTCATGCCGATCGGCAAAGAGTTAATGGGGGTGAGGGGAAGACGGGTGTCTCAGGGTTCGTCTTCAGTGTTTTTTTTCCCCCTCCCAGCCTTACCGCGTTTGCACTGTACGAAGGTGCGGCAGAAAGGCCATTTTTGGTGCAGTGCATGCGTGGGACACACAACCACGGAGCTCGGGCGCCGGCGAGGAGCGCGGGGAGGCTCCGCGGGAGCCTGCGGGAGCCCGGGCGGAGAGCGTGCGCGCCCCGCCCCCGCGCGCTGGTGCAGAGGGGCGGGGCCCAGACGCGAGGCCCCGCCCCCGTGGTGGGCCCCGCCCCCGCCGCGGCCCCGCCCCGCCCGCGGCCCCGCCCCCGCCGCCCTGGCTTCCTCCCCCCTCCGCCCAGGAAGCGGTGATGGACAGCTCTGCGTGTTCTCCGCCCCCAGCCTCCCCAGCTGAGTGGAGGAGTTGATGTGTCTCATTAGAACAGCCGGTGCGGCCGCCATCCGCGCTCGGGCGAGGAGCATGTCCCAGTTAAATACGCCCTCGCAGCCCCGGCGCCCTTAGCCGACCAGGGCGCGCAGCCCGCACGCTCGCCGGCTCCGGGCGCGCGGCTCCGGGCGTGGACGTCCGCGCAGGCTGGGCTGCGTGCTCCACGGGAGGATCCGAGGCGCGGAGGATCGCGATCCGACTCCCGGGCCGGGGTGGGCGGCGGGGAGGCTGGGCCCGGGGCCGCTGGCGCGCGACCCCCGCATGAGGACGCCCGCCGAGTAGACCGAGGGCGAACTGCCGCGGGAGAAGCTTCGGGGCGGTGCGGGTCCGCTTCCCCGGCGAAGAAGTAGACATGGCCAGCGACTCGCCGGCTCGCAGCCTGGATGAAATCGATCTCTCGGCTCTGAGGGTGAGCGGGACGCGTTCTCCGAGGGCTGTGCCGCGGTCCGCGTGGGGGCGAGCGGGCGGGGGGGGGGGGCGTCGGAAGGATCCGCCGCGGGGAATCTGAGTGTGGATTCGATCGGGGGGGTGGTGCGGGGGAGCGCCCCGGGGACCGGGGCTGCGCGGGGCGGGCTCGGGCTCCGGTGGCTGTGGCCGTGGGTCCGAGAGCTCGCGGAGCTTCACGTCAGTCCCATCTTCACACATGCAAGAGCATTGAAGGAAGGGCTCGCGCGCGCGCGCGCGTGTGCGCGTGTGCATGTGTGTGCATGTGTGCATTATGTCGATGTGTGTGCGTGTGCGGATGGTGCGCGCGCGGGCACACGCCCGGGGCGTTCGTCCCCAGCGAAGGCGCGAGGCCCGACTGAATTCTTTATTTATTCTCATGTATTTATTTTCGCAAGGAAGAATCACCTGGATGAAGACACGGGGCCCTGGCGTTCGCCGGCCCGAGCCTGGCTGTGGCCGCCAGCCGAGCCCGCCGCTCCGGGGGGAGGGGAAGGTCCAGTCCACGCCACGGCGCCCCCTCCCCCTCCCCTACCCCCCCCTCGGCGCCCTCCTAAACGCCAGTCTACCACTCACCTTTATTTATGGGTAGAACTTAGCCCTGCCTGGGTTTTCCGACTTGGAGGCGGTGACATTTCAGTTTTATGGCTGAACTTAGGCAGGTGGAAGGGGATGTGTTTTCTGTTCACCTTCCTCCTCCTCTCCCCGCCACCCCCCCCCCCCCCCCGCCATCAGCCCGGAACTCCCCAGAATGTGTGATTCCCCCCCCTCCCCCGAGTCTGTGGTCAGTCCTTTGTGGAACACCTCCCAGCCCTCCAGCATCCCCTACCCCCAGGGCCCACAGCTTCGCTTTCCCTTCCCGTGGATCGCCTCGGACGATCGCCGCCGTCTCATTGTATTGACTAAGACATCACCCATATAGAATCCATTTTGCTGCCGTTTTGAGATCAGAATAGCAGGAATCCCAGCGCAGCCTCGGCGCCTCCCCACCCCCACCCCCCCAAGCCCAGCTCCCTCCTTAGAGGAAGGGGGCTGAGCTCTCTTGCCATTTTAATTAGAAGCTGCCTGCCAGGAGAGGGGATGAGGGGTGGTGGTGACGATGGCAGCCCGGGGTTCAGAGGAAGATTGGACACGGTGCTTCTTTCTTGAACCAAAAATAAAATAAAACAGCAAGTGCATGCACCCGATGCGAGGGAGGTGGGTGACATGGTGGCTTTCCCTGCTGCCGACTGGCAGAACGGGTGGAAGTTTGCTCTCCCTCCCTCTCACATGGATGCGAGATCTCCAGGCCGGTTCCCTGAATCAGTGCTTTCCCTGACATTGCCTCTTCCTCTACAGATATTAAAACAAAAAACAAAAAAAAAACAAAACCACCTCTCTGATCAAAGTGACTTTTTTCTTTACTCCCCCTAAACCTCTCTTTTTACTCCCATCCCTTGTTTTATTTCCAGCCCCTTCCCCCTCGCAAATCTATTGGTCCAAGAGGACAGATTTCAGCAGGGTAGGGGTGTGTTGCGGTGTGTGTGGGGGGGCTGTAGGCTGTTTGAAATGGGCCAGTCTAATAGTCGGGCAGCCAAAGCTCATTCATGCGTGATTACAGTAAGCTGTCTGTTTCCCTGGTGCCCAAATGCCACATCCAGACCCCGATGCCCGCTGGGCAGCTGGGGATGGGGGCTGGCAACAGCGTCGGTGCTTTGGATCAGTGTGTGGCTTCCTGCTTTCCGAGACCGGGGGCTCATCTGCCCTAGTTCTGTGGCTGGGAGTTAATCAGGTGGATGGATGGCCTAGACTTGGGGGATGGATGTGGGAGGGGAGGGGCCAAGAGGAAGGGGTCTGAACAATGGGCAAGGCATGCGATGATCCAGTTGGATTCTTGACAGTGCTGCTCTTATGGGGCTGCTGTGGATTTAACTTGAGCCAGGACTGGTCTCTCATGCGCTTTTCCTGAGGGAAGGTTTTCTGAGACACCAAGCACAAGGCCTGAAGGCTTAGCCACTAGGCTGCCCGGAGTGCTGTCCGTTCACACTCTTGAGAGACTTCTGCTCATGCAATCTGTGTTTTGAAGAGATATCTTGACATGATTGAATCGATATGTTTCTTTGTGGCCTCAGCTGCCTCATTTTGTTCATTGCTTCTGATTTTCTGCCTGCTCCCAGATATACAAAGAGCCACAGTTTATCCATTATCTGCAAACATGCAGATCAATGTGTGCTCAAGATCCACGGTCCTCCAACCAGGGCTGGCGTGAGCATGAGTGGGGTGTGCAGATCACATGCGTCCACAAATCAGAGGACAGGTCATCTCTCTGCTGGTCCAGTTTGGAGACATAGGCTCTGGAGAAGTCTCTTGCTCCTGAGCCCATAGACAGGAAAACCTGCTTGCTGAGCATCTCCGGAGGGATGCCTGACCCCTGAGATGCAGCCAAGGTCGGTGGCTTAGAGTGGAATTTGCTTCCAGGCTGTCGCTGTTTTGGACTCTTTAATGTACACAACCAAGGCTTTTTTTTTTTTTTTTTTTTTTAAATCCTGGGCTCAATACATTCAAGCAGACCCTGTCTGGAGAGGAAAGGCCTTTATTTACTCTTCTCACTTTGGGGGCTTATTGTTCTCAACCAGTGATCCCAGACTGGACCCAGTTGAAATTTTGCCTCAAAGAAGAACAATGCCTAATTCAAACCAGAGCAGCCAGTGACAGTACTGATCCTCTAAATTCTGCAAAGATGTGGATGGTTTGGAGAAGTGAAATGGAGATCTTTGGTTAGAAAATAAGACAATCAGAATTCAAGTGTGTTGAGTGCTGAATTTTTTTTAAGAGCTCATGGAGACAGATGAAATGAGGGGTAGGGTGGGGATGCTTTCATACACAGAAAGCTAGAAGAGAAATTGTAGAACCCACAGTCACTGTGTTCAAGTGGGAGCCTGAAGCCCAGAGTGCTGAAATTTGTTGCCCAAGGTCAGACAGTGATGGAGGGAGATGGAGAGTGGCTGGGGGGGGGGGGGGGGGAGGGGTGTGGAATCTAGCTTTCTTATCCCCTCAATCAGTGCTCTTTGCTCCAAGTCACATTGTCTGTAGCCAGATCAGAAATCAATAATATATTTTCTGCCTGAATACAATTTTTTTTAAATGACAGAGAGAAATCCATTTCCCCCAGAATCATGGAATGTTCTTTATGGAGAAAGGTAATTCAGGCACCTTTGGAATTCATCTCCTCCCCACGCCCCAACCCCTCCTTCAGAGCCTCCTTTGTGGGTAAATAGCTGCCTTAGTCACGTAGGACTGAGGCATTGCCCGCTCAGGTCACCCCCTCCCAGTAACCCATCTCCATCTGAGCGTGTCCCCAAGGGTTAGTCTAGACACACACATTATTCGGATGTCTCTGTGTGTGAGATTTATGGAGTCTGGAAATGATTTGTATAATCTGGGTGGCTACAGATATTATATATAGTATTATGGGTATAAACTCTATCCATGTGGGTGTACGAAAATGTGTGTACATATACAGGCTCCCGCAAACAATTTCCTCATTCAAACCTGCTTGAGTCATTCTTGCTTCAAGACATCACAGTATTAAAAGAGGCAACTTGCTACTCGGATACTTTATTGCACCCGAGGTTGTAGGCTCAGCCCAGAGATTTTGGAGATGAACAGGTTTCTGAACTTGAGTATCTTGGCTGTCCTTGGCAGAGTCTACAGGGTAGGCCTTCCAATGCCAGGGTTTGGCCAGTGCTAACCTTATATGCTCAGCTTTTGCCAGCACTCACACACACACTTTTGTGTTTGGACAAAATTAGGCTATTTAAGCTAACCTTTCTCCTTACTGCTTGGTCCCTTCCTGGGCCAAGCACTGTTTGTCATTATTTTCCCCCCATTAAAACCAAGATAAAAGAATTGGCTCATCTAAAGCTGATTCCGATGACTCACACCTTTAACTCTAGCTACTCAAGTGGGTGAGATCTGAGGATCAAAGTTCAAGGCCAGCCTGGACAGACAAATCCAGGAGACTCTTATTTCCAGTTAACTACCAAAAAGCCAGAAATGGAGCTGTGGTTTAAGTGGTAGATCACCACCCTGGGAGCAAAAAAAAGCTAAGAGAAAGCCCCAGTACCAGCACTCCAGCATGTGCATATGAATACACACACTCTCTCTCTCTCTCTCTCTCTCTCTGAGGGGTTTCTTTCTGCCTATTCCACAGTAAAAACTTGTGGAAGGCCCACAGAGTTCTTTGAGTCCAGAGGCCCCATTTGTGGAATGAATGATCAAGCACATGAATGAACGAAGTGAAATTGGACACTGGCCTCTGTGTTCTATGTCTAGGCCTCATTGTTAGTTCTGTGACTTGGAGTAAGTCATTGAACTAAAGGTGACATAAAAATGGGCATGATTTCCAACTGCTGGCTTCCATCACCTGCTGCTTCCAGAAAGCACAGTATTTATGGCAACACTTTGCAGAGCACCAGGCACCAATCACACACGTTCTATGATTAAGAAGAATTTAATGGGAAACTTAATCCCACCAACATTTGATCCCAGTCACTGGTACCTAAGAGAAAAGAATGCTGAGTAAAATATAGCACACAGTGGCTCCTTCTCAACAGACCTTAGTGGCCTTTGCCCCATGTGCCAGCGTGACCTTACCCTCGGCCTCCTGACCTCACATGAGCTTTGCTTTGGGGACAGGTTTAAGGTATAGCGCTAGCTTTCTGGAGAGTACTGTATAATGTGTATCAGTATCAAAATTATTCATAAAACACCTTTTCCTCCCCTCCCTTCTCATCCTTCTTTCTCTCTTATTTTTTTTAAATTTTTCTCCTCTTTATGAATGATCCCTTATTCAAGCATATTTATTAGCATATAACTTTTCAGAGTTTGTCTTCTTTCTCTTGGGGATTAGGGAACACCTAAACATAGCTCAAGATTTCAAAGCTGATCAGAGGTTTGAAGGTTAAAGATATCATGAAATACCAT